CAGGTAGGGCTGTTTCAGTACGTAGTAAGCGCGCTGGCGGAAGATCAACAGAATCACGTAGAAGACTATGTCCATCAGCGTCAGAATAATGCCGACCGGCCACAACTTATTCGAAATCGATCGTGCGAGCAATTCGCTGTACTCGCTCTCCAGCTCTTGGTTCTTGAAGCGCAGAGGGAAAATTTGGATCTCGCGCTTGCAGTCTGTCCAGAACGTTTCTGCTACCGACTGCAGCACTTTGCGCACGATTGAACGCGGGTTGATGAAAAAGTCGTAGATTTGCAGCGAGGCTAAATTTTCCTCGACCGCAGCAGCAGCCGCCGCCGGTGGCGCGGTGTCCTCGGCTTTCAGTCGCAGCGCTCTGCGCTGCTGTGGCGCTGCGCGATGCGGCCGCGACAGCTTTTGCTTCGAGCTGATCACGACCATTTATAAACCTAGATCGGCATGGTGCATCGTCGGATTTTCCATTTTAACAAATTCTAATTTGGCAGCGAATGCAGGAGATGCGAGCGCCGGCCGTACCCTCTGTATTTTGCTGCTGTAACTAAATGCATGTCTAGCCCCAGCACACCGAACGCCAGCAAACCGGCTTCGGATGTCGACCCATTGCTCCGAGCGTATGGCATGACGCAGAACGAGCCGCCGCTGCCGCAGTCGGATGACGAGTTTCCTGCATTCGACTCCGACGCGGCGAACTGCTCAGAGGAAGACATGAGTCGCTTGCTAGAGCAGGAGTTGTTCGGTTTTTCGCTAGGCAAGCGGAAACTCAAGCGCAAGGCGCGTCAAAACTTCTGTCCGAAGAAGGCCAAGACGAGCTCCACGCCTTTGTCCGTGAAGAAAGCAAGCAGCTTGAGCGCACTCGCCGAAGCCAAACTGAAGGACGCAAACGACGCATACATCTTTGGCAACTACTCCGAAGCGCTGTCCATTCTTAAAGAAGTCGTTCGCATGAGTCCCGGCGCGCACGACCCCTTCCACTTAATTGGGCTCATCCATGAAGTTGCGTACCATGACAACAACAAAGCCATCAACGCGTATCTGATCGCAGCGCGACTTCTGAAAGTCGATCACAGCTTGTGGTTCAAGATCGCCGAGTTGGCGCTCGCAAGCCGCAAAACCAAGCTTGCGGTTTACTGTCTGCGCCGCGTCGTTCCGCTGAAACACTTCAAGAAGGATATCAATCAGGTCGCCTGCTTTCAATTGTCTGAACTTTTTCTGCAACAGGGCTTAACGAAGTACGCGCTACTCTACCGGCTAAAACTTTTGCTGCTCTATCCGGTGGACGACGTGCTTTTGCGAAAGTGCCTAGCTCTCGCAACTGACTTGGGCGCGCTGTACACGAAGTTTGCGCTACTGTGGCAGCGACTGGTTTTCGCGCTGCCGCTCGCGCTGCGCGAGCGCGAGAGCACTCGTTTGCTTGGGCCAGAGAACTTTGACGAACTGATCGCGCTCAGCACCACGGGCGTCGACAGAGAGCTACTGCGCTCGCTGAAGGCTGGCCACGGCCCACTGAAGCTGCACTCGGAGCTATGCGCCGACAATGTCTTCGCGTACGTCGTAGAACTCTGTTTGCTGTGCAATCAGCCCTCGCTGTACGCGCGCGCAACTGGCCTCGTGTCCCACACGCTGATGAGTGCTCTGGGCGAGCTGGATGTTACTCCCGCATCTATGGCGAGACTGGCTGCCTACATGGTCTCGCTTCCGGTAACGGTCGTCGCGGCCTTTACCGTCATGTTACTAAAAACCTCGTTCGAGGTGCGCGCGCGTGAGCCAACTGCCGCACAATTGTTGTTGAAAGCGGCTGACGACGCTGCGCCGCTGCTAGACGCCGCCGACACGTTGATCGCGCAGTTAGCTGACATCATTCAAGAAAAGCTTTCGATCATTCAGTGCAGTCTGGGTTCCTCGATCATAAGTTGTTTACTCAAACTCGCTGAAGCGTACAGCGCGTGTGGCCTGCTAAAAGACAGCATGCGGCTGTACCAGTACATCGCGGAGAAGCACGAACATCCGGTGGCGCTGGGCCCTTTTTGGGTAATAGCCGCGCGCTGCGCGCTGCGGAACAACGATTTTGAAGCGGCTTCCAAGTTTTTGAACTTGATCCGGTCTAAAAGGTCGATTCTCGGCGATAGCGCTGGCGCGCATTCGATCTACAACACAGAGACACGGCTGCTGTTGTTGGGGCTGTTTACGAACTGTTTGTCGGAGAATAAGTGCGACAAATCTCGGACTGACGTACTGTGCGGCGAATTTGCGCAATACGCCGATGAGAGCAGCGTGAATGCGTCTGGCGACGCGCTGAGCGGCTTGATCAATGTGGTGAGCGCCTCAGGCAGTACGTTCGAGAACATCTCGGCCGAAGACAGAAAGCTGATGTGCTTGCGACTTGAAGCACATGCGCGGCACCGCGAACTTTGCATTGAACGGCATTCGCAGTGCATCACGCAAATCGAACGGTATGCTGGGTTGCAGGAGCTCGAAGCACTGCCTGTGCCCGAAATTCCGCAGCCGCTCATAGACAACTACTTGCCCGTGTCGCTGAAGTCTCTGGTCGAACAGCTTTGCCAAAAGCGCGTCACGGTTCGCCATCTCGTGATGCTCATCCGGGAGAATCATTTGTGCCTCGAGGAAAGCGCGCCGTGCGAAACGTGCGGCGACTGCAACTGCAAAGCTATGGTTGTCTCTTTCTTTCAGCTGTGGCAACGGCTTCACGCTGCCGAGTTCGCCGCGCTCGTAGTCGACCAGTTCTTTGACATCATGCGGATCCGTAGAGAAGCTTCCAACATGAAGCTGAATGCGATCGGTCGCCAGCTGCAGCACAAAGGTTACAGCGAGTCCATTTTTCGGCAAACACGGCTGGCGCAGCTCGAAGATTCGAGCATGCCGACCAACTCGGCCGCCAGGTCTTCGCGCGCTACAAGCACTGCAGAGTTTTCCGGCGCCGACTCTTGCTCCGAATATAGCTTGCTCTCCTGCGACGAAAGCTCCGACGACATTTTGTTGAAGTTCAGTGATAGCGCGCGGCGAACCGAGCGCTCAGAGAAATTCGGCCGTTCGAACTTCGCGCACGCGCTCATGCTGTTCTCCACCAGCAAAGACATTCGCGATAAGCTGAAACTGGTCTCGATCGAGTCACATCTCGGCGTCGCCCGGTTCAGCAGACTCTTGACGCGTGGCTGCCGCTGCTTGGCCGAGTGCGGATACTGGCGCCTCGCCTCCAACGTCATGGAAATGATGCTCGTGTTCGTCAAGTTTTGGCAGACACTCAGAGAACGCTGTTTAGTTTCGCGCAGCGCGTTGCGCGACTTCGAAAGTCTTAGTTTATACTACGCCGTACGCACTAGTGACATCAAGACCACTCTCAAGATTTTGCGGCGGAACTATCTGAGTGGCTCGAACGCGAGCTCCGCGCCGCAATGTTCCCGGCACCGCTTTTGGCTCAACGAGTACTACAACTTGCTGTATTCTTCAATCCGGTCTGGAATTGGAAACTCGGCTCTTTCCACCGCGATGAACAGCGAAACGCTGCTGTTCAACCGCGCGTGGACCATCAAAAATTTGTGTAGGAACGCCAGCAGTGACGTGTTCATGATGGCCGCCGCGCACTTCTGCATACTCACCCAGCGATTCGTCTATTCTCTGGCAGAGTTCAACCTCGTGTTTGCAAAGCACCCCAACAGCTCCGTCGTCTCTCTATCGTATGCCGCCGCTTTCTTTCAGCTTTCGAACAGCCGAATTGCAGTCGACCGGAATGTGTGTGTCACCTTGGGCTTGGCTCTCGTCATTCATCACAGCAAGGCCAAAAGCCAAGAACTGCAAGCGCTCATGGAGCGGAGCTCCGCCATAATTCAGAGAAAACTGACGCGAGCGTTGGTTCTCGGTTTGTCTGGCAGCAAGGCGAACCAGTTCGTCGCCGCGATGCTGCGTAATCTGCCTAGTCTAGAGGCAGAGAACTTGATCGAATCGCTTTCGAGCGAAGTCTTCAACTTCATTAAGCAACTAAGCCGCTTTGTCGGCGTTTACGCGAACGCCGAGAAGAGCTATAACTTGGCGCGCGCGTTGCACGGCTTGAGTTTCACCAGCGACGCAGCGCGACTCTATTTGGAAGTGCTCGAAGAACTACCCGCCTCGCGCGAATCGCTGCTAGCGCGCTGCTCTTTGCTCGTTGAACAACTGCACTTTCTCGCAGCTCTCGCTCAGAGAAATTTGTCACTTATTGAGACGCTCTTTGAACTGTTTACCTCGCAGTTCCGGCCGTACCTTGTTGGAGACGCAAACGTTTACGAACCTTTCGGCTGTTTCGGCTTGTTTTCCACGCAGGATCCTCTGGGTCTCCAGTCGCTTCTTCTTTCGCGCGAGGCGCTATCTTTGTCGCACGCTTTTACTAGCTGGGCACAGAGAAACAATGTATACGCGAACTGCGGACAGTGTCCCAGCGATTTCATCTGCCGCTCGTCACAATCTGCAGCGACAGAGCCTGGCGAAGCGAGTGCAGCCGAGCGCGAGTTAGCTAACGATGCGACGCTGCATGCAGAGGCAGTTCGAGTGTACCATTTGCTCATGAATGACCTGATTCCGGTGTTTAATCTGGTTGCTTTTGACAGCGAAACTCTCATTCGGGCGTGTAGCTACAATTTGCATTTAATTGAGCGAGAGTCCAACACCGTTGGGTGCGGCGACACGTGCTCAGAAAAGTATTTGGTTTGGTAAACTCATCGCAGTGTTGGGTGCCGGAGACGAGGAAATTGTTTGCGCAGTAGATTGCGCGAAATTGCAAACGCAATTTCGTGTTGTAGCAATCAGCGCGAAAGACCATTGGGAGAGCGCGCTACAGACACTCTGGTGAATATTTCGCGAGTTTGCAATGCTGAGGTTTAATACATAGCGAGACTGAGCACTTGCACTAATGGCGGATGGCGTAGCCAACAAGAATCCGTACTTGTACGCGCGAATGCTGCAACTTACCGAGTTTATTTCGTGCTATTTTTTGACGTTGACAGATCGTGTTGGTGCTAAAACTGAAGGACATGATTAAGCACGTAAAATTGGGTCAGATCGAACACAATCAAAATTGGAGCGGGATAAGATGCGTTTCGCAATATTATTCAGCTTAGCTACTACGGGCTTAGCGGCCAAGATTGACTGTTCCAGCTTCAAGACGAACTGGACGGCTGCTTCCAGACGGTGCGATTGGGGGCAGAAATATGTAATCCGCGGCAAAGGCTATCAATGCGGCTACGACAACATGTACGACCCGGAAGACCCGATGCAGCCAAGCGGGGCTTGGGTTCTGCTGGGAACCTGTAGCGACAGCAACAACAACGACACCGAGACAACCACGACGCCTCCGCCGACTACGCCCCCGAAGAAGCCAACGACTACGACGACGCCACCGCCTACTACGCCTCCGAGGAAGCCAACGACTACGACGACGCCACCGCCGACTACGCCTCGGAAGAAGCCAACGACTACGACGCCCGCGCAGGACAACACCGTAGCGACTACCTGCATTCCAACCACGTTAGGCGCTGACGCACGTTGCGGCTGCTTCTGTCCGAAAGTGGACCACAAGCAGCCCGGAAAACGCTGCCGCTGCAAGTGCGGAGACAGTGACAACGAGAATCACGACCACGGGAATGACAAGGACAAAGATCATGAAAATGACCATGAACATGACCATGAAAATAACCATGACCATGAACATGACCATGAACATGACCATGAACATGACCATGACAACGACCCAGACAAAGACCATGACAACGACCATGACAAAGACCATGATAAGGACAACGGAAATGTCCACGACTTCAACGGGCACAAAATGCCGAAGTACGACTTTCGTCTGGCAGGTCGTCTGAAGAAAGAAGGCAACTTTTGGGAGGACAAGAGCAACGAGGGTGCGAAGCTCTCGGAGGACGAAGTGAAACAAGCCTACAAGAACACAAACGGCTCGCGCGTAACTGTCTTGCATCCGTGGAGCAGTGACATGCCAACGCTGAAGCAAATGGAACAGGAAGCGCAAAAATACGAATCTGACACGGCAGTGCGCGAGATCCTCCGCCGCAAGCAACCGGCGCCAATGAAGATCGTCGAAGCCGTCGCGCCAGGCAAAGGTTCGAACCCGGAAAACGTGAAGCGAGTCGAGAAGCTGATGCCAGAAGACAAGTTCACGAAATTATTCCCTGTGCGCCACAAGAGCTACACGTACGAGAACTTTCTGAAGGGAGTCGCGCTGTTCCCGTCCTACTGCCAAACGTACAGTGACGGACGCAACAGCGACGAGATTTGCAAGCGCCTGCTGAGTTGTTCTTTCGCTCACTTCGTGCAAGAAACCGGCGCGAATGCTCCGTCGTGGACGCTGCAAGACTTTAAGGGCCAGGGCTATTCCAACAATGGCGCCGAGAAGTACTACAGTTCGGGCGCAATTCCTAAGCACTTCCAAGGTTTGTACTGGCTGCGCGAGACGGGCTACTCCGAGAACATGACTGGCGGAAACCCCTACAAGAGCGCTGCGGGTCAGATCTGGGGTGAGTACTTCCCGAACCCGCCGAATGTGATGTACTTTGGCCGTGGATCGAAGCAGTTGTCTTGGGACTACAACTACTCGCTCTTCAGTTTCACTATCTACGGCGACCAGAACGTGTTGTTGATTGACAAACCGCAGGACGTGGCGGATTCGTGGCTCAACTTTGCAAGCGCGATCTTTTTCGCCGCGACGCCCCAGTCTCCGAAGCCTTCCATGATTGACATTTACGACGGCACGTGGAAGCCTACGGACGAGGACCGCAGAAACGGACTTACTCCTGGCTTCGGCGCGACGATTATGGTGATCAACGGCGGCATCGAGTGCGGCCAGAGCAACGAGACTCCGGCAGCGCAGAACCGCATCAGCGCGTACAAGATTTTCCTTCAGGAGTTCGGGCTGGGCACGCTGCCGAACGAGCAGCTGGGCTGCAAATCGGCGAAGCAGTTCTCGAGCACGTCAGCCTACAAGGCTTTGTACTACGACAAGGGCAACGCGCCCTACACGTGCAAGCCGGTTTCGTGGCAGATGCCGTTCCGCGTGGGGCTGACAGGCGACTACGAACGGTGCGTGAACTATCTGTGGAGATCTATGACCGTGATTGACGGGAAAATCACCGCGCGCAACCTGTCTGCGTGATAAATTTGGACTATACATAAAATTCACAGCGTTGTGACTTTGCACAATTAAACGGATCGTGCGCGGCTCGGCTGCAACGGGCTTAGGGACATCGGCAAAATGCAGCAATCATTAAATATTGTTACACTCCCGTGCGCATGGAAAAAAATGAATGTCAAAGTTTAGCATGTTTTCAAGAGGAGGTAAAGCAGAAGTCCAAGCGAAAGCGAAAGCGAGCCGCGGCCCGAGCATCTTTGCGATCTTCAGCAAGCCGGTGAAAGAGGAGATCAAGTGCGCGCACGCTAACAAGTCGCTGTGCAAAGGACTCAAATGCAAAGACTGGGAGGCGCGTCGTAAGTCGTGCCCGATCCGCGGACTGTTCGACAGCTGCTGCGGGCCTTCGATCCTTCACGACAAAGAGTGCATCCGATGAGACAGTTGACAGCGCGGACTTTGCGACCCGGACTACAGATAATTTCGAGTGCTTGCACAATTGTTTTCTGGAAAAACACTAGACACTGCCTATTACCGATTTTTTATTCGCCATTATAGGTAGGGTCATTAGCGGGCGCAAGCTGGCGAACATTGCACAACCAGTGATCTGAGCGCGAGTCCGAATATGTCGACGTACAAAGGGAGCGCTGCGATGGCGGCGCGACGGAGCGACTTCCTGCCGAGGTGTCGCACGTACATGAGAGAGCACAAGGCATCGGTCACAGCCTGGTCGCTGTTCGCCGTATTTGTGTTCTTCGTGTATCTGTACCTGTCAGACCACGAGTTCTCGTTTGTGCTGACGCTCTCGAGTTTGATTTCCGCGTTTTGCTTCACGATGGTGGCCTTTAAGATCAACCAGAACCGCAGCTACAGGGGCGTGAGCCGCAAGATGTTTGAGAGCTACGTGCTCATTCAAATCTTTCGGTGTCTTAGCATCGTGCCGTTTCAGGGCTACTTGCCCTACGACAGCACGGGCGACTGGTTGTATCAGTGTTGTGAAGTCTACAGTTTGATCTGTGCCTCGATGATTGTGGCGTGGGGGCGCACTACGTACCGCGGCTCGTACAACGCGGCGACCGACAAAGTGAAGTTAGTGTACATGATCGTGCCGGCGCTGGTGATGTCGCTGATCTTCCACCCGAGTTTGAACGCCTTTTGGCCCTCGGATGTGTCGTGGACGTTTGCGCTGTACCTCGAGATCTCAGCATGTTTGCCGCAGCTGATAGTGTTCCAACAAGAAGTAAGTTTGCGTGAGCGCGATGCAGAAATCGGTAGAGCCGTTCACGAGCCACTTTCTGGCGGGACAAGTGCTCGTAAAGCTGCTTTCCTTCTTGTTCTGGTGCCGTACCTTTACGGAATTGAACGACGTCGGCCGCGGCGCAAAGTCATTTTCGGGCTTCTGCGTGCTGATGGGACAGGGTTTGCAGCTGCTGATGTTTGCGGATTACATTTTTATATACATCAAGTGTCTGTCGAAGGGCGTGCCAATGAACTTGTACTACCAGGACAACGTCTAGCTACTTGTAAGCAAGTGCTGCGTCAAGCCGGTGCTGCAGTTGAAGCACTGCAAGTTCGTCAAACTTGCAGGCGCGCCCGCTGTCCCTTCGACGGCCGCGCCGAGCGCAGCGTCTGCACCCGGAGCGACGCGAGCGGTAACCTCCACCTGCTGGAGAGCCTCGAGGTCCATGTTTAGCAGGTGGAGCGCGGCCAGACACGTTTTGTGGTAGTGGTGACCGCACGCGAAAAGCAGCACCTTACTGGAGGGCGCAAGCGTAGACGGGTAGCGCATCGCTTGCGCAGTGAGCGTCGCAGAGAACTTCTCCCCGCAGAAGAAGCACTGCGCGCTGCGAAGGTCGAAACTCGCTGCGGCACCGGCGTCTGCGTCCGCTGCGGAGTCGTCTGCGCCAGCCGCATCCTCGCACATTTCGTTGCTGTTCGCGGAGTCTGCAGGCGGGGGAACCGGCAGCTGAGTGCGGCGGTCGCTGCTAAACTGCTGGTTGGCACTTTCGATGGCGTCGGAGTGCTGCTCGACCAGCGCGTTGGAGACGGTTTCGAGAAACCACAGAATCGTCGCGACGGCTTCGCTGCGCAGCGACTTCAGTTTGGCCACTGCGGCGACCAGGTCGCAGACGTCGATGCACGGCAAGAGCTGCACTTGTCGGGCTTTGAGTTGTGACTTCAGCCAAAAAACTTGCTGGACGGTGAGCAGGTCGCGCTCTGCGCTGTCGTTTGGCAGTGCGTCGAGGAGCGCGAACTCATCTAAGCGCGCGGCTGTGGCGCAGCCAGGCTGCGGCAGCGCTAGCAGCGCGAAGTAGAACGGCAGCTGACTGAGCAGCACCACGTACGCGAGAGAGTGGATGATCAAGTCTTCGTCGGCGTTTTCGCGCTGCAGAAGCACCTCGAGCAGCTCGACGAGCGGCTCGCGAGCGGCATAGTGCACGCCCAAAAAGGCCAGCAACGCCGCGCAGGCGCTGCCCGAGACGTCAAGCGAGTGCGCCACTTGGAGCGCCAAGAACGTGTTGCCCAGCAGCACAAGGTGTAACGCAAAGCAGATGCTGCGGAGCTCGGCACTGCTGTCGTCGTGCTGCTCGCGCAGCGCCGTCTGCCAAAATGCCTCGTCCAGGCTGGCGCTGAGCGCGCTCTGCAACACACGCTCGAAGTTTTCCATCACGTTTAGCGCGCCGTCTAGCGCGTCGCTGCTCGTCCTGGCAGTGGCGAGGTTCTTAAACAGGCTGGGGCGGTGCGCGGCGAGGAGCGAGGCGTCGCGTTGCGCTCCGAGTGCCGCGTCTGCGGCGCAGAAGCACTCGTAGTACTCGTTCAGCACTCGCATGTCGCTGCGCGTGGTGGCAGCGTTGAGCGGTTCACCTAGTTCAAGCGGCGAGGCGGCGTCCTCGTCG